TTAATCCGTCCATGGTGAGATTCCAACAACCGGAATCACCTGAGAATACTCCTGAACAAATATTGGGGGTAGGGGGTGTCACACCCCTACAACCCCCATCGCTACGTCGCTGCTTGCAAAGGGAGAATACGTACCAATGTGAACGTTATCGACACCAAGCTTCACCAGAATCTCGTTCCTAATCCATTCATTTTCTGTGGCATCGCGGATAGACACAAGATCCGAATGGAATCTTTTGCATTGTCGACTAGCTTCCAACCAACTGTTCCACGTTTTCAGTAGATAGTAGCAATAGTGATCATTACAAAAAACAGCTAAAATACATCAGACACAAGTTACATATGCAAAGTCCGAAAAATAACATTTTGAGAAATCCAACTGATAAAGATAAAAACAAGTTTATAAACAGGAGTTTGTGATATTTTGCAAAGGGGAAAGAATTTTTTCCCGTGGTAACACTGAATCAATAATGCATGCACTTTCATCACAGCTTGAAAAAGCATCACAAAATTAGTGATATTCCAAAGTTTCGTTGCAAAATGTTGTAAAATGTGGATAATATAGCATTGTGAAGTTTGCAATTTTCAGTCATTTTAGATTACAAACGGGAAATGGTTACCACTTCTGTGCGTAATACAAAAATGACTGAAAATTGCAAACCTCGCAAGGCTATATTATCCGCATTTTACAACATTTTGCAACGAAACTTTGGAATATTACTAATTTTTGTGATGCTCTTTCAAGCTGTGATGAAATTTTTGTGTAGGCTAATTAAGATCAAAATTTTGGAAAAGTGGTAACCATATCCCGTCTGTTATCTAAAATAACTACAGTAAAAATTGCAAATTTCGCAAGGGTATATTATCCGCATTTTACAACATTTCGCAACGAAACTTTGGAACATTACTAATTTTGTGATGTTCTTTCATGCTATGATGGAATTTTGTCCAGACTTGTAGAGATCAAAATTTTGGTTAATTGGGGATTGGTCCATTTAGGTTCATTGCCTCTTGCAGTAACAAACTTGCAACACCTCAAAAAGAACAGTCTAGAATGGATAGAGATATCCAGTATAAAAAGATAAGTCCAGTTCAGTAAAGGATTATTCTTACTTCTCCGCTAGGGAGAACATTTTAAAACTTTTACAAAACATCCAGTATGTTAAAGTTTAATCTACAAATAACAACTTACTCTCCCTATCGCGGACTTTCATCTTAACTTGTTGAAGACGGTTTTTATTCTCCCACCCGCTGTATAGTAATTGCTTCATTTTTTCAATGTCAGTTTGAGGTTTTCCATTTAGTCTACACACGGTACACTGTTTAAACCACCAGCCAAAGCCAGTATTACTCCCATGCGCACAATTTCCATCTGATTTAGTATCGTGATCCTTGTCATAAGTTGTAAACTTGACTCCATTATATGTTTCCATGCAGTTGCCTAAATACAAAGATGTGGAAAGCGTGACGGCGGTATAGGGCGTGACATGCTAGGCGTGGCAATGCGAATGTAACGGAACAAAATGCTGAACGGCTTTTCGTGATGAAAATTTCCAGGAAAAGCTCTCTCTACCGGAATACCACACCTTATAAAACAATTTTATATAGCAATAATTATCACTTTTTGCTGTGTTGGTGTGATGTACTCAGATGAATAAGATGCTTGTGTGATGTTACTCTGAGTGTATATCCATCCCGGTGCGGATATAGAGTAACATCACATGCACAAGCAAATTATCACTTATTTACTGAGACCGAGGGAAACAGTTTGTTTTGTGGACAACGGCGGTCGAGGGGCCACAAAACACACTGCTTCCAAAAGGTCTCAGTAAATAAGTGTTTTGTTATATAGTATATAAGTGTCAAAGTATGAATAATTCACCGGTTATTGGAGTGAACTTAATTTGAAACCAAAACCGGCGGTCACGGGTGCACAAAACACACTGTTTCCCTCGCTCTCAGTAAATAAATGATAATTATTTTCCCTTTCGGACAAGAGGGCCTAGTTTTGTTGAACAATTTGGCCAAAATGCTTTCCGCTTTTTTGACAAAATAAGCTGGTATCGATTTGGTATTGAATCTCACATTTTTTTATTCTTGAATCTTAGTCACATAAAGCAATGTTATTCGCAAACCAATCAATCAAATTTCAAAATGCGGCCTACCGTTGAAAAGCTGAATGAACAAGCTTTCAATTACGTAAAATTATTAATTATTTTGTTGTGTAAAATACTCGTGGAGGCAATAAAGATTTTAAGCTAACTTACCAGCAGGGCTAGGCTCGTACTCAGCTATATGTAATCTATACCCATCATCTTCGCTGGAAATTTGGAAGGATTTATGCAGAACAAATGCTACATCATTTTCAGTGACAGCCTTCAGTTCTATCAAAAGTTGTTGTTTTTGAGTTGTCAGTCTGTGTGTGTAATCATTTCCAAGCCAAAAGTCTTCTTCAAGATCCCCAAAGCCAGATTTGTAATCAGACCAAGGACGGTCAAAATTTTCTTCGGTCGATGCACGTGTTTGAAAAACTGTCCAGCCACCTCCATACAGCGATTGGTCGCAGTATACCTATCAAATATTTTGATAGAAAATTAGTTTAGAGAGCATGAATTGGCAAGAAGGCAAAAGATAAGATGGAATTAAGAATCATGATTTTGGAACAGATTTGACTCGAGGAGTCAATTTCATAACGGAGATATAAATAAAATACAAACAATACTGCGTGGTCATACCTCAAAAGAGCCTTTCCCATCAGGATCAATGAAATATTTCCCACTTTCCGTATTCCCTGCAAACAGTAACTCTAAGCAGTTGGATGGTTCTAAAGATAATTGTATAAACAAATTATTGACAAGAAACCAAACTAACTATATGCAGGATAGCTCTAGCAGTTCTAAATTGTTCTCCCAAGGGATCCAGTAAAGATCATTCCGCATTATTTGTATTTGGTCTGGATACATTTATCAGATCTAAAATGTTTTCCCCAAGACGTCCAGTAAGACACAAAGGGCCAGAGTACCCAGACAGAAAGCAGAAACGCTTTTCTTACTACTTTTCTCGCTACAGAAGCACATTTCTCACATACAAGCGCGAGCTGAAAATATAGTCGGGGAATTGGAGGAATTGATAGATATGCAGTTATACATAGAATAACCAAATGTTGTATCCCCAAATATTACATCAACAAAAGATAACGTATCAAGTTATCAACTTACCTTTCTTTACATTAATACTTCCAACGATTCGTTCACTTGAACCTTGTTCGCTTTCAGTCACAAGGCAATTTCCATACTCACTTTCAATTAACTAAATTAAAGTATTCAATAAGAAATATCAACATGCACATGATAATAAACTTGTTGTTGTTGTTGTTGTTGTTGTTGTTGTTGTTGTTGTTGTTGTTGTTGTTGTTGTTGTTGTTGTTGTTGTTGTTGTTGTTGTTGTTGTTGTTGTTGTTGTTGTTGTTGTTGTTGTTGTTGTTGTTGTTGTTGTTGTTGTTGTTTTAGTTGCTGTTGCGGTTGTTGTTGCTGTTGTCGTTGCTGTTGTCGTCGTTGTAGTTGCTGCTGCTGATGTTGCTGTTGTCGTTGTCGTTGTTGTTGTTGTTGTTGTTGTTGTTGCTGTTGTTGTTGTTGTCGCTGTTGTTGAAGTTGTTGTTGAAGTTGTTGTTGTTGCCGTTGTTGTTGCCGTTGTTGCCGTTGTTGTT